TTGGTAAATGACCCAGAAATTTCGGTCATGCTGTTCTCTGTCCATGAATGGTTGCGGAGGAGTTTCCCGTGCCCCTATAGGCACCATCGAAACCCGGTCGCTTCCGGCGGTTCCATCTTCTACTCTTGCCATGGAGCGCCTCCATTCCGCCGTTAACGATCTGAAACGCCACCCACCTCCATTTAGCTCCGGGATTATACGTTTGCAGGTAACTCGAAGTACTTCGCATTATTTCTCATAAACAGATACTGAAAGAATTTCTTATCTGCAATGACTGAAAGGGGTGCCACGTGGTTAGCTTTGGTTGGATGTTGCTTCATCTCATCATATTTTTGTTAACCGACAATATTTTTTTTTTAACGAACTAAACCGACATTATTGTTTTCTCAACAATAGCTCATTCCTATAAGTTCACAAGAGTTTTGTTTTGAAATTGTACTTAAATTATAAAATGTTATTTAATATGTAAAAAACCCTTGCATTATTATTAAAGATTTTTTATCATTTGATATAAATATTTTATAATTTAAATTATAAAACATTTTTTTATTTACAAATAAATAAGAAATGAGATAAAATTAATAAATGCAATCCACTAGTTTAACAAACTAAAATATTGAAATTGGATTGCAAAACGGCCTAGCTCAAAATTAAGAATATTTTGTTTAATCTAAATTTTATTAAATAGTACAAAATAAATTATGCAATAGTAGCAAGCCTTTTCAATCTAATGTCTCCAATTTCCAAAGAAAATTTGTAGAATAATTGACTGAATTATTAAAAAAACATTTTTTGACTCTATTATTTTTTTATTTTATTTTATTTTTTTGTTTAATTTTTTTTGTTTAATTTGAATCATGAGACAAATAGCGCTTCTTTTAAGGGAAGAAACCAACCATAGCAAAAACGCGAACTAATTTTAAATTTGGTCCTAGTAAGTGACTTCGCATAAATTTTTAATTCTACGTGATTAGTTTTGGTTAAACCATTGATAAACCATACTTTTATTGAATTTCTGGTTGAAGATTCCAATTCGAGAGAGAATCGAAGCAATTGATTGGTTACATTCTCAACACCATCTTCTTCCCCGCTGTTTCTTCTCCGGGAGACGCCGATCCGGCGGCTCTGATCTCCCCGCTGATATTACCAACGGGAATGGCCACAGCTTAGCGGGCGACACTCTGGTCAGTGTCGCCGGTGTAGGTTCTGCTGTCTTCTTCCGGCATCTCCATCCTTTCTCCTACGATGATTGGAGGTCCATTAAGAGGTAAGAGTATGTATAATAATTTCTGCTTTTTGAAACGTTCTGCAGATTCATAGCAATCTAATTTTATGAAATTTTTTTTAACGGTTTTTTTTTTTTTTTGCGTATTTTAATTGCAAGGTTTTTGTCCTCGAAATGCCCTTTGATTCGTGCATATGGAGCTATTAGATTTGATGCTAGGGCAAAGATATCATCTGAATGGAAGGAATTTGGTTCCTTCTACTTTATGGTTCCGCAGGTAGGGCGTTGTTTTTGTTCATGGAGTAGATATAGGCATGGATGCCTTTGTTGTTGGTATTTATACTACTATTGCTAGATAAAATGACAGGTTGAGTTCGATGAATTCAAAAGAAGTTCAATGCTTGCAGCAACTGTTGCATGGGACAATGCACTTTCATGGACATGGCAAGAAGCCATTGATTCACTTCAAGAGACAATGCTGCAGGTGCATAAATTTGGAGAGAGACTTAGCTTTGCATGATAGTTGGTTCTATTTGGGAAAGTTTGTCTTTCACTATCCCTTTAATTTATTTATTTTTTATTATTATTATTTTTTGATCATGCAGGTTTCTTCAATTGTTAGGAAGTTAAGGAAAGAAGTTTCGAGAACATTTATTCTAAGCAATAATCATATTCCGTGTAAGAATCATTGGGATCTTGCGGTTAAGAGAGCTTTGGACATAATAAACAGAGGCAGCTCACCACTTAGTAAGGTATTGAATAAAGCAAATGCCAAGGCTGTTCTTCATGTTAGCATTCCTTACACGTGGCATTCTCATGTTACTTACATTAGTCTGCAGATTATATATGGTACTTGACTAAGCACTTTCTTTTCTTGTGGTGGTTGCTGTGAGTAACCTTAGCTAATCAACCCCCAAGGCTTGTTGTCTTCTCCCTTATTTGATTACTACTCTTCTTCATTTGGTCATATAGGTTGTACTCGCACGTAGCAGCAGAGTTGCAACTGCAACAAATATTGATCCTATAGCATGGTTAGCTTGCCTGCAGGTATTACTAGTTACTACCATGTAAGTGCATGTTTGGCAAAACTTATTACCAAACTTGCTTATAAGCAATTTGTTCTCTCACAAATTGGAAAATTTGTTTGAGGGAAAACTTGAATTTTGCTTTTAAAAGCATGTTTGCTACTAGAAGACCTACCAAACACACCCTAAATTATGTTTTTCAATGAAGGGTCTCTATATAATGTCTAATGACAATTTAAAATAATAATTTAAGATATGCCCCTGCAGGTGGAAGGAGAAAATGCTTATCAGTTTTGTCTTCAACCACCTAATGCACCAGCATTTATTGGGAACACGGTAAGTGCCATTTACCTTTTGTGCAATGAAGAATTGCCACTCGTCTCTGATGCATTTATAGGCCTATCTGTTATTGTTTCTATTTCACCTTCATGATGCATACTTCTGAAATCTCTCCTAAAAAGATCAAAATTTTCATGGAATGTGATGGTCTGGATTTTAAAGTGATAGTTACCATTATCCATGTTTTATGGTCTTTTACTTTTAACTACTTGGACTTGAAAGTATTGTGGTTTCGTAGTTGTCTTCAATCCTATCATTCTATTCCTTTTCTTCAGTGAGAAGTTTCTTGCTATGAGAATTTTTTTAAGCAGACAAAAAGATTAGCTATTCACTAGAAAAACTAAAATACATTGTATACGCTGAGAATATAAAGTTCCCTTGAATAGTATCTAGTTGTAGAAGCTTCTTTGAGGAGGTGACTTTTCATAACAAGTGCCATGGTCAAGGGTCTGTTCTTGCCTTGACTTTTATGAATGTTTGTGAATAGCCAGAGCAATTATTTCATAGAAAATGGCTAAATATTAGTACTGAGGCTTTGGCTGGAACCCGAGCTCGAGGTGGATCAACAACTCTTGATCTTCAGATAGAAATTGACCTACTTTCAAGGTTTGTTCTGTCCCTTTGAACTATTTGACGATTCCCTATTTGTTGGAAGTTTACTTTTAATAATTGTATGGTACTTGAAGTATTTGTAAGTTATATTGTCTTTGTTATCTTGCAGTCCCAAGGACGACCTTGAATTTACAATAGTACGGGAGAGCATACAAAGCAAATTGGAGGTAAGTTTTCTTTTAATGCCTTTGATCATATGAGGTCATCTTGCCAAGACAGTCCTCTTGTCTTGGGCTCCCAAACCTACTAACTCAAGTGGTTAAATGATGTAGCATACAGCAGAACTGGTTCCCCTGTGAGGGGCACTTGAATACAGAATCATTTTTTATAGTAATGAGGTTTGTTGACCTGTAAAACAGAGAAAGAGGGAGAAAGTTACAATTATTTGCTTGTCACCTGTTTTTTCAGGCTGTATGTGACAGAGTAATTGTTGAGCCAAAGAAAGCAATACGAAAACTCCCAAGGGTTCAACACTTATTTGCCCAATTGACTGGCAGACTAAGAAGAGAAGACGATGAAGTAAAGATTCTGTTAGTTGTTACTGTATGTCAAATAATAGAAGATTCCATTGTTCATATTAGATTCTTATCCATTCACAGTTCACTGTATCGGTTTCATATTGCATGGTCACCGTTTTTTATTTCTGTCCTTGTACATGTTTCCTTAAGTCTTGAATGTGCATTTGGCTATAAAATTTGTCTAAAATCTGAATGGTTGTTTCTCTTTACCCCTTTATTCAGAAGACATTCCTTGACCTCTCTTTTTTCTTCTTGCAGTTTGATTTCTTGTCTTCTCTGCATCCTACTCCAGCAGTTTGTGGATTTCCAACAGAAGAAGCACGGATTTTAATTGCAGAAACTGGTGGGTATATACCATTCTGCAGAGACTTATTTTAACAATTTTCTACCCCCCTCTTTACCCAATATCCTAGCGTGGTCATGCACTTGAGATGCTTTGATTCAATTCTTTTGGCACAATTTTCAGGAAGGCAACATCATCCAAAGATTAAAAAAATAAAGCAATATTTCCAACAAGAATGTTATATTCTAGATGGGCAGAGAATGTTCTTTGCTTTTTATATGCCTCCTTGCTTTTTCCTTTTTCTTTAGAACGTATGCAGTATGCTGGAGATAAGCATCCTGTATCACCTTGGATGATGTCCTAATTAAGAGCCTTAATTTTGTCTTAAATTATATAGAAACCGGGAAAAATTATGTTCCTTAAGATCAAAATTTCACTGAGATAAAAGTAAAAGGCATAGACCACCAATAATCTCCAGTGCCTATGAGTAGAGCCAGCCCTTAGATATATGGGTTAATTTATTTTGGGCGTTTTTTATCTGATATGCTATGAGAAAATCTGAGTAATTAATTCAAGAAAAAATTGTTGGGGGAATGGTGCTCTTGGTGGTAGAAATAAGGTTAAAGATTTATAAAGCTAGTTTTCCGTCAATGAGCTTTTTGATTCAGGGAATTTAGATGTCATATGCTATACAGTTCCAAGAGTTGTGTCCATCAAGCAATATTCAGAAAATTCTGCTTTTTAATTGTTACACCAAAATATTGCATAAGAAACCCAACAGTATTAGTTTCTATTTCCATATCTAAAGGCAAATGAGCCTTCGGTTAAGGTTTTTTTGTTGCTAGCTTTACTCGTGGTGAAATTTTTGTCATTCAATTATGATGTCCAGAGGTGTTTGACCGGGGGATGTATGCTGGGCCGGTTGGTTGGATTGGAGGAGGAGAGAGTGAGTTTGCTGTTGGCATCAGGTCAGCACTAGTGGAAAAGGTAAGCTAGCAAAATCATCTCATGGCTACCAATGCTTCTTTCTCTTGAGTGCGCTAAATCAGTATCAAAACTTGGTTTTAATACCATCCCAAAACCTGGACGTGATTATCAATCAATTATAATCAAGGAACCTTGAAGTCATGATTATGTAATTTCTATACTATGACCCTAGTTCTAACCAGATTAAATTCTAGGGTCTTGGTGCATTGATCTATGCTGGGACTGGCATTGTAAAAGGAAGCAAAGCATCTCTAGAGTGGGATGAACTGGAACTCAAGACATCCCAGGTTAGACTTTTGTGTGTTTGTGCAATTGTGCTTAACTCTATGGTGCAGCTTTCAACATGCATGTGACACTCTAATGAACATTGCTTTCAGACCATGTGCATATATGGAAATTATGCATGTTTAGTACATTCTGATAATATCTTGGTGAAAAACCTAGTCTTCTTTTTCTTCTTGGTCATTGTGGAATAAATGCTACCCATCATCCGTTTTGCAGTTTACGAAGTTGCTTAAACCTGAGGAGCCTTTGCGACCAAAAGTTGAGACTTTAGGAACAATTAACCAATTAAGGTTAGTTGTTTTAGTGTATGAGTTGTGCTTTGTAACATCATTTCAAGATTACATTTACATTACTTTTTATTTATGTTATTGTCTAGGATTATTGACATTGCTCCTGAAGCATTTATATACTTTTTCAAAAAAGGCGAGCTCAACTAATTTCAGCCACAAGTGGCGGTTCAAATGCATTCAGAATCATCATTTTGCCAAGTGTTATATTATTCTCTGTATCTGGCTTCTTGGCAATCTGCATTTGCTTGAGTTTTGACGGGCAGGGCAAGAAACACTCAACATTTTCTTTCTTCAACATATCTCATTCGTATTTCGGTTAAGGGGGCTGCGCTTGCTTTTGTTCTTAGTTTTAGTTTAGGTTTTCTATCCTTGTTCATATTCATTTTCAAAGATTGCAACTTTTGTTAATTCTTAAGGAGTTGAGAGCAGTTCAGCCTTGTAAGTGGGTTTGCCTTGTCAATTTCGTTAGTATTTGTTTATGTAAATGGGTTGAATGCTTTCTGCCTTTTCTTCTTCATTTCTGCATGGTCGCTAGACTTACAACTTGTTTAACTTCAATTTCTAGATTAGGATTTAATTTCACAAGTTTCTTAGTAGATTATCTTTTGGTTTTAGTAAACAAGTAGTCTAATTATCTTTGTTTTAAATCTACAAGTAATTAATTTAATTTCTAAGAAATCATTATAGTCTGCATAGTTGCAATTATAGTCTGCAAAGTTGCAATTATAGTCTGCAATTTCACATAGTCTGTTGTCAGTAAATTTATCTTTATAGCATGTTGTCTTTATTTATTTCATTTTAGGATAATTACTTTAGGATATTGTGTTTAATTTAGGATTTGTGGCTTTTGTTACATCATAGTGGTTTTAAAGTCCTTAAAGGTGTTGAAGACAAGTACTAACTCATTTCGCAGAATTTGACCCTCTGTTTTACATCATTTGAGGTGCAGTTTATTTTACAAACGTTTTTTATAATCATCTTTTTTGAGGTTGATTGTTGCAAAGGAGAAGGATTGTCTAGAAAATCTGATTTTTTTTATTTTTAGGCAAAACAAGTGGTACACCCTATACCTAAATTCACAAGGTTGGACAAGTTAAGGATTTTTGAGGAAACACAATCAAAGGAGCCTTGGGAGATCTAAAAGTTATACAAAATTTCTAGATCTAAAAAGTCACAAAAAAATCTAAAAATTCTTCTACCATTAGATGATATCCAAAGCTGTCTTCTAGTGCTAACTTTTCAAAGTTTGACTTCATCACGAATTATAAATCCAAAGTTGCCTTCTAAGTTACTTTCTGAATGTTTAACTCATCAAACTCAGCTTCAATATGTATAGCTAGTTTAGCTGATTAAAATATCCAGAAACAATTTTATTATTATTATTATTTTGTTAACTTTCCTTTCTAATACTAACTAGATAAAATATTTTTTCTCAAACCAATGACTTGCAACTTCTTAAGAATAAAACACAAAAACAAATTGATACATATATAATGATCATAGAAAAAAACACTTAGAAAAATAACAAAACATTCACTCTATTAGTACGATCCTTCGTGATAATTGTATTTCTCTAACGTAGGATTCACAATACACATACAATTACAAAGAATTCTAAAACGCTAAGAAATTGCCTTACAGATTTTTGTTTGTCACATCCTCAATGATGAGCCAATGCTAATGCCTATATGCACTATTAAGGTAATGTCTGATTGGAATGAATAATTATTTTTTTGTCAACTAGAAAAATAAGTTAGAATTAAGAAACTTAATGAGTTAAAAATGCTTAAGGATCAAGGTTAAATATTTTTATTTTTTAAAATTAAGTGATGAGCATAGAATAACTTTTCTTAGGGGGAGAGGGGGTAATAACAGGCTGTCCCTTACTCATCTCTTAAAAGAAAATTAATTTTAATCCCACTTTATTTTTTTCCCTTCATTTTTAAGACCTCTTCATTCTTAACCGTGTTAAGGAGGTTTATTAATTTTAAATGCTTGACAAGGGAGTCATTCTTCCATATCGACTTAAGTGATTTAATATTAATTTTCTTTTCATCGAAGTAAAATGTATTGAATTTAAATTATATGATATGTAATTAAGATAAATT